ATAGTTTTAGATGCGTCATTTATCTAAGCGATTTTTCAACGAATATCGCTACAAATCACTACGTGATTATCTCTTTTTTTCTAGAAATGAAAGACCGCGACCGTAGGAGAATTTGCACCAGGCTAGTTCTGGATTCTTTTCAACTATACAGGCGTGAACACCTTGTTGGATCGCAAGCAACTGCCAAGACTTTCGACCTCGGCGTACAGTTTTAGCTTTAGTGAAAAGAATGCTAATCCTTGCTACTTTTCTTCTAGACGTTTAAGTTAGCCTGTTCTTGTTTCAATAAATGTGGAACAGTTCACAGTTTCATTCTGTAAGAAATTACTAATTTTTCCACATTACGAGATTTTTGGTGTGGTTCAAATGGGTCGTTGGGGCATACAAAAAAAATAAGAACAACAAAAACACCTCGTTTTCACTAATAACATCTGGCTGATAAAGCTATTTCTCTGCGTTCCGTAGTAACATCTGCTTTTACACAAAGAAGAAAGCGACCAAATTTGATTGAGAGCGCCGTAGTTCGACGACGACCTTATGGTAAGCTCATGTTAAAGATATTTTATGGCAGCAAATGCTCCATCGTTTTCCAACATGACTAATACGAAACGGCGTAGTTGTTTCCAGAATGTGATGTAGAAGAAGGGAAGTCATTAATTTCTGTCTTCGATTCCAGCTTTCAACGTGTACTCGATGGTCGAGTGGGCAAAGGCATTTTCACGACGTTCGTGGAAAATAATAACAACCATTACTCGTGCCACATTATCACCTAAAGCAATTTTCGGGTTTAAAAAATTTTCCACATTGCAACTAATAGAAATTCATTATGAAGAATGGACGACAACACCGAGTCGCGAATTGAATGAACCCTGCTTTCTCGTTGCTTCGCCAACCTTAAAACACAACAGTTCACGTCTATTACCGTCAGTTAACATTTAGAAGTCTCACGTTGCTGGATTGGCACTAATAAATGTTGTTGAGACTGGCTGATACGCGTTGATATCCACTCATTTTCTTCACGGTCGTTTATTCTTCGAACAGAGGCTATCACTCTACTTCAGCACTAAATCGAGATCTGTAGAACACTGTGTTAGCTTCCTAACCCGAAAACAGCTCTCTGCTTTAAATAGTTTACAAAGAAACTGTTTCTTGAACGAGTTTATTTAGCACCGCAAAGTATTGGTGTTGGAAAGAATCACCATAGAGATTGTTTCTTTACTCAAGCGTACGAGCATCTCGTTGGTGTACTTTAGCTCGCAGTTGAACTTTAGAAACATTTTATCGCTAAGACGAGCTGCTATATCATTGAAAAGATTTGTACAAATGCAATTGTTGTCTACTTGGTTGCGCCAGAACCAATGATTTCAAGAAGGCGTCCATTGATGTCTTCCACGTAGTGAGTTTTGTGCAACTCTTGTTCTGATAACCTTCTACTGCAGGATAACGGACGAATGACAATTAACATCTTGAGGAAACAGCTGTCACATACACTACAACGGTAGAGGCGTTATGAATGAGACTGGAGTCGTTCAGCTCTGGTACTCGGTCTCCGGTCCGTGCTTTATTTTAGATATTTTGTACCACAGATTGTTACTTCATCTACTCCGCACAGGATGAGAGAAATAATATTTTAAGTGGTTAAACAAACGGTCAGAGTATATAAAATCCCCCGAGAAAAGCTGACAGAAAACTGGCCTCCATTTCTGAATGTTCAAATCATTAACTTGGATACTTGGATGGTCCGTTTTCACTGGCAGTGCCAGTCCCACCACAAACCCCATTCGTTTCTCTCTTACGGTAACGTCATCGAAGGTGGTGGTCTGCTTGGAACACGACGACGTTAGCGAGAACCGTTCCCTAGTGTTGAAATCATTCCCATCTGCGAATGCATAATGAGAGTATATAATGCGAATGCACATGGAAATGACTTGAACACTAGGGAACGAGCCTCGCTAACGTCATCATGCTCTAAACAGACCACCACCTTTGATCCACCATTCGTCTGGGTGGACTTGCGAGAGGACGCTTACATTCGGTCGGAAACTGCTCCACAGTCCTTTTCGTCCATCCGTCAACTTTTCTTCGTATTATGTACTCGGCCCATCCTTGTCTCGCTATTGATATATATATTCGCTGACATCGATCGTTAAAGCACTCTTGGATGGCGAGTTCTTGGCGTGGTTGAGGGAACAGCCCACGTTTCTGCCGCATAATAGGGCGTTGGGAGGACTATTGAACTGAAAAGGTGAACACGAATGCGTATTGGGTCTCGTTAGCTTCTTCGAGAGGCCAGAATTCGGCTCATACTGTTTTTCTTTATCTGAATAATTCCATCCTCATGTTTTCCACGCTCATCAAATGCCTAAGGTACACGACTAGGTGGTCTCTGCAATCATAGAACCGTGCAGTTCGATTTATTCCCCTTCGCACCATCGGTTCTTCATGAACTGGCTCTTCTTCCTATTTATGCATAGTCCAGTTTTTTTTCCGTTTTATTGAACCAATTTCGCGTCGTTCGTTGGTCCTTCTTGAAAATACCACGATTTCATTGGCAAGACCGAAGATTTGGTAGGAGTTTTCCATCAAAATGTATGCCGTTTCGGTCACATTCTAAGGATTTAATTTACCCACTGTAGTGATGCGGTAAACACCTTTGACGATACTGCGTCTCCTTGTCGAATCCCTTTTGCTGTGGAGTTTTGGTGGGAGGGCATAGGAGGAGATTTTGAATTAAAAGTCACCATTCTCGTACGGAAATCTAGAACATCTGCGCGTGAAACCCTCTAGGCGTTTTGGATCAGCTTCAAGAAACCAAAAATGAACAGTAGGAAGGAATGCCTTGTTATCACGCGTGATCTCAAACAACACCTCATGTTGATGTTTCAAACTGAGGGGGGAACATTTTTCGCCAACGTAATACTGTATGCGACTGGTCTCCACTACTAACTGAATGAATGAATGAATGATAGAGAACAAAACGCTTCCTAACAATACCGATTGGTAGAAACATGGCAGAGAGTAAGGCAAAAGAAGGCTCTTGTTTCGCGTGGTGGATTGCAGGTGAGATCCTTATGTGGGTTATGGCGGGTTTGAAGCCCATGTATGGCATCGAGTTTTGCCCATATCTCAGCACCTTTGTGGTGATATCCCACACACAGCGGTTTAAAAAAAGTTGTTTCTCACTTGACCGAAATTTGGGTCTCAAGTTCTTATAGTTATTTGCACATTTGTCACCATAGATGGTATCGTAGTATACTAGAGCACGCACTGTGTCAATTAGCGTGTCACGATTCGGACCCCAATAGTCTTCCAGTCGACAAGCCAAGAAGGGCGCGTGAAGTGCAGTGGTTAAGGTGCTCTCCAATGCACATACGGTCTCTGGATCAAACCAGAATCACGAGCTCACCTAGTTTCTCATTTCTTCAGGGTCGGCAAATTGATACCAGACCTGTATGGGAAGATAGAAGCACTGACCTTATAAATCGACAGTCCACCGCAAGTCATTATTTAGGCCAGACGTGCACTCAGACATATTTAACGATGCTTGATGAAGTCGAATGTACACTGCGTCCCTCTGGGATTGACCAACGCTGAGCACTTTATCTTTTAAATTTTTTCACATCATGCTATCATCATTTCTTCTAGCCATCCAAGCTTCAACGCTTGACAACCCAAAAAACTCCATAAAGTTAAGCTATAAAGGATAAGGGATAAAGCAGTCGGCGTTGATCAATCCCTGAGCGATGCGCCATCTTTCGACTTCATTATGTATCGTTAGAGGCAACTGAATGCAGATCTGGCCTTTATTGTAACGGTGACTGCCGATAACCTACTTATGTATCGAGCGAGCGCTGCTATCCACCCAGACAAATCCGGTACCAATTTGCAGACTCCGGAGGTATGAAAGGCTTGGTGAGGCTTGTGAGCAGGGATCGATCCCAAGTGCACTGTAGGGCGCCACCGACCACTACGCCACACGCACCCTAGAGATTCTTGCAAGACTTCTAGAATATTCATTACTTTCAGTGCAGCATTACCGTTAATTACATTCATATTTAGCTGAATACAATTCCCTAGATTCGTCAGCTTATATAAAGACTGCTTTATTGTTTGCGTATCATAGCTGCGGTCTTTCGGTTGAATAACAAGCTTGGCGTTATCCGTCGACTCATAATATTGCTAACAAGCTATACGCGCAGAAATCATACTATATCAAACACGTTATCATCTTTGAATATCACCACTACCTAAAGTCTTAAGACAAACCAAAATCCGAGAAGCAATTGTGTTAAAAAAGCACGTCGTTCAATGACGGTTGAGAAAAGCCGTTGTTTTTAAAATGTTTCCGCAAATGCACAACACACAAGCGATTTCCCCGATGTTATTCACGCCGACCCTATGTCAAGGTTTCATTGTAGGTATTCCATATCTCATTAAAAATACTTCTGGATTTAGTCATTTCCTTTGGATAATCCTGTTCTGATTTAATGATTACGGAGAATTCTTGTCTGGTTTTGGTTTCTGTAGGTATTTGGTTCTGACCAACGAGATTTCGTAACGCTTGTACTGTGAACGTTTCATTCACTCTATTTCAAGTTTTCAACTTCATATTAAGAGTTTTTTTTTCTCAGAGGAACAATAAAATAGTGCAGGGCACAAAAATGCGAAGTAACTGTGATTTGTTACTCGACAAGGTTCACATACTTCGGGAAATACATGGGATTCGGGATTCACGTTTTGCCTACTTATGAAATAGAACGTTTAAAGGGGAAGAGGTTATGGAATTCAGGAAATATTGTTGAATCTTAAGTATGAGTATCTGCAAATGGCATGTTTGGCTACCATAGGCTGGAGACCTGAGTCCTTCAATCTATTGAATCAATAATTTTGTATAGTTATCACATTATCATCCTGTACAGGTGATAGTCTAGTCGCAAGGCTGTTTCCATTTCACTTAGTATGTTTGTTTTTAAGCGACAGCGTAACGTTCTCAAACCGCCATGGCTTCTCGACGGAAGGGAGAGCATAATTGGGTCGAAGACGACGTGCAGCATGGCGCTCCACCACCGAGGAGAGCCAAGAATCTGGCCAATCTCAGGATCCACGCTCACCTGATGGGTGACGATGAAGGTAATTCTTCTTGTCTTCACGTCTGGAAGTGTTTTCGGAAGCATTCACGATGTTCAACCACTGAAGACTTTCAAAATTCAATATAGCTTACAATTCTCCATTCTAGGGACTTCGCAAATGTCTCATTCATCTCTTTCTTCTGTAAAGATTGGAATCATGGACCGTAAAGAAGTGGTGGGTGCCTCCAGTGAAGGAGTTGCGGAAACAGCTTCGGATGTGTGCGCCATATGTCTTATGCCGTTGGTTTTACGTTATAATACTGATGAATTACCGATCTGTTCTATGAAAAGAAATGATGAATTATAGACCATGACATTCCACTTTAAAACTCTTAGCATTACAGAAAAAATGTCTAGGATTTCTCTCACCTGTGAATTGTTAGCGTAAGTCGTACCATCGTACAGGCCATTCTTTAGACTGTCTTTAGACTACGTTTCCAAGTTTGGCATCAGTGATATTACGTACTTACTTGGATATTTGGATGGCCAGTCCTCACTGGTTGTGCAAGCACCAACTTAATTACCATTTTTTCTTAGTTTTGCCAGTTTAGCTACTGTGGTTCTCTGGAGTACTCAATTCGACCTAGCTAAGGTATTCCACAGGTTGTTCCCAAAATAGGCAGTCGTCCGCCTCCTTTGTGTATCATAGGGATATTTGCCAACATACAGCTAGTTTGATGCCAGGACGGTGGTGGATCCTGGTATTGGTTTACCCTTAGCTACGATTCCCGATGGAAACGCCGGAGTCCTTCTCAATTTGGATGACCCTATTGGGGAGATGAATCCCCCGCTGTAGATTGTAGCCATATGCGCAACAACAGAGTAGAAATGGATCCTCAAAAATCTTGAACCAGTTTGCTAAGTTCTCATTCTATCCTTGAGTTTATTGACGATTAAAGAAGACCATCTTTGTGGTAGAGAACCAATTGTGAGCAGACTGTGAGTTTCTGATTCACGGTCTTCAACGATGGCAACAGTAAATGCGAAAAGTTACCTCGATCTAGAAGGGCTGCTATATTTAACGAAAACGCTTCACATCACGCTCGAGTTATGACTAGTCACATGCGAGCGCATGTGTGTGGCGTAGAGCATTTATTTGCTCACAATATTTTCTATGGAACATAGTGGTTGGAGATGATAGCTGAGTCCTTTACAAGAACAGCACACATCATGCCTTTCGGCTCACCAGAATCCTCATCCAAAACTCGATTCATACTTGGAAGGTGACGCCGTTTGCGCTCTGAGACTATCTGCATATAGTCTTCTTGGAGTTGCCTAAGCAAAACCAGATGATCAAAACCAACCGCTACACATTGGAAGTTCGCATGTACGCCGTTGCTATGAAGGAAAAGCAACTAAGACAACTCAGAAATTGGCTTTACTATGACAGTTTTGTGGTTTGCCTATTAAAGTTGAGTCTCAAAGAACCGGTGGATTTTAGCTTGATTATTGTTTACCATACACCATAGAGCACGGATATAAAGCCTTCAGACTACCATTTGTTCTGAGCCGTAAACCATAGCTTGCTCTGTTCGAACTTTAGAAAGCTCAAAAGTGGCCTCGCCAATTTCTTATGACTCAGTATGTTTTCATGGGAGAATAACATCGAGAATATGCTTAAAAAGTGCCTATGGTGATAGTGTTGAATATGTAGCGGGTTAAACTTGTATTTTTAATGACATTTGTTCTTTATAAATAGATCAGAAAAAAACATAGGCGTGGTACCACTTTTATTTGCCACTATGTGCTTTTGTGTCTATCTTTTCTCATAGGACACAAGTTTCTTTTGAGGAGAACCGATCCAACGTCGCTCGATAAGTGCTCGCATTCGTTTTGCTTCGTTTGTACTTCACAATGGTTAAAACACGCTGGAACATGTCCACTGTGTATGACACCAGTTAGCTCATTTTCGCATAACATAGATCTTCCACCAGGTTTGCGTCCAGTGTGAGTGTTCTTTGTTTTGTTTCTCTTTGTCGAATGCATTTATTGTTTCCTTTTTTAATTACCTACGTACATTGGACATTTCATTTTAGGGTGTCAGTTGGTGATTTGCGTAAAGCAGATGAAGTAGCTCGATTAGTTGAAAGGGGAAAGTCTTTGCCACCTGTGAACGAACAAGAGTGCGTTAAACTGCGCATACGACGTCTACGTAGGCGGCTTGGCGCTGTTCAGGAGCAAATGTCGTAGTTCTGTCTGTAGAGTCATGTAGTTACTTTACTTAATCACTTTCTTTTTTTAGGAGCACAAGCGCTCGAGTTGACCATTCTTCAGATCTCGCCAGTGCTAGTACGCGACTCATCAATGAAATTAGCATGCTCGAAATGCTCAAGCGAGATTCTACGACAAGGTATTCTTTGGGGAATTTTATCCTTTTGTCGTTGTTCATAGTTTTATTTTCTTGAATTTTAACGCTTAAGTAGCTTATCTTCAGGAATATTTGTGTATGAGGAATATCAGCATACTTTACAACTAGCCTCGCTCTTTTTTTCGTCATGACTCAAGGGAAATCCTTGTTACGATATTCCCACGTCGTTAAGTGTAGTAGTCACATGCTGTGGCGGATCAGAGAGTCGCTAACTGCCTTGCTTTTGAACTGGCTTCCTGTAGGATGTCAGCGGTTTCCGAGATTGGTTTGCTTTTAGCTGAGCTTTCAGTTGAAAGTATCTAACGGTTTTTGGGGTTAGGTTATCTTAAGGGGATGAACATTACGCCGTATATCGCACTCGCACTTCGTTACCAAGGAACATCCCAGAAACAGTGAGGAAATAGATGATTCATGGAGTTGTTTGTCGTACTTAATCTCTAGTTGACTTTGTTTATGTTTTTTCTGCTAGTTATTTTTCCAATTATAAAATTACAGGCACGAACTTGTTAGCAACATTACGTTCCGTTCATTGATATATAAAGACAATCTTGATCGGAGCTCCATTGACCGTAATGCGAATTGGGTAGGTATTCTATTAGTCTCGTGATGTTTGTAGGAAGCTAAGAAGGTGCAGTTTTTCACTATTTCAGGTACCTTTCACACCAGAAGTTTTCAATGCTAATGAGACCGCTGCAGCTGAGCGATTGTTTCCCTTCGTGGATCGTGAGCTGAGAATTGTTTGGTGCAGTGTATGTTTTTTCGAAATCAGTGTTTCTGGAAGTCTCGAGTTTCAAAACAAGCTGTAGGCGCCTTTTATCTTTATTGGCTTTCTTTAACTCGATATCATTCATGAATTTTACTGCAATACGTAGATGGGGTATATATATCCACCGAGTATTATAGAGAGGTTTGATCTAACTAAGTTTTCATCTGAAGTTTATATTTTTTAAATGTACATACATAATGTTAACCTTCTATTTTCTGCCTACTATGCTTTTTTACGGCAAGGTACGGTGTGGATCTGGAGCGGGGTCCAAGTTTTGCGAACATCTCAGCATCGTTGTGGTTGTACACACACATTTATGCTTGTATTCGATTTATTCTTTCGTTAATGTGTAGCAGAAATACTAGAGAACTAAGTTAAATCCAAAAGGTGAAAACAGTAGTTACCCTGTAAGTGTACTGAAGCAGTTCTAGTAATGATCTCTATATGTGTAGGGTGGGAGTTCTAGCTGACGTGAAGTGACGATAACTTTGTGATATAAACCGTCAGCTTAACGCATTCGCGCCACGCAGTATGTAGCGGCTGTGCAGCTTGGCACGGCGCCTAACATTTAGATTTTACGAACTTGCTAGTTTTTTGAAAGTAACCCGTAGTTGTTCGATAATTTGTGGATTTGAAGTGTTGTGCACATGAAAGGGTTGTGGAAGAGACTTTGCGCTATTGTTCTATAGGTTCTAGTGGTATGTATGCCGTCGTTTAATGTGTTACTATGGTCCGTTAAACACATATATTGCTGCTAGAATTTGAAGAATTTGGTAGTTTATTATGTTCAGTCGGTTTTTTTACAATCCTTCATCCTATACCGTAGTCATGATTCATCATGGCGATTAATATAAAGTAACAGCTAATTTTTAGTTAAATTACCTGTCAATGTTGTGTGGAGAATTGATTTTCTGGTAATGCAGCATTAACCTGCTTTCAGCTAACCATTGAAAAAATATAAATAGTATGTCAAAAAGAAGTTCTGTGACCAAGTGAACTGAAGGTGGAGACCATATTTCGAAATCGTCCACTCACCCATCCCCCAACCTATGTTTGGATGTATACCTTCAAATGGTCTTCAATCATAGGATCCCGATTTGAGGAGGGTCGGACACTGGGCTACTAACCACAAGCATGCTGAGATATTAGCAACATTCGAACTCTAAGGTGGGCTTTGACTTCGCGATTACACCCTTGCCGGGAGAATACGCGCTATCCACCGCACCAACCCGCGACCTATTTTTGCCTTCCACTCATCTCGTCTTGCTTTTATTCTCAGTTTTGAGCGTTTGCTAATATGGAGAGGAAAGCAAAGCAAAGCTATCAGTTTCGTCTAGTAAAAAGGTGCTCTGTTAGGTTTGGACGGCGCTCGTTTTGGATTAATTCGAAACGTAAATAAAAAGAGTAAAGGAAGTTTAGAAAAAGCATATGGATAGCTAAAAACATAGAGTTAAAGTGAAAGGACGGATTGGTTCGTAGGATTAAAAAGTTTATAGATGGGATCATATATCTGCGAAGGCAATAGCTGGGTAGATTTGTATATTTAATCATGACATTTTCAAGTGAAGAAGCAAAAAGTGCTTTTAGTGACTGTCGTGAGCATACTTTAAAAGCTCGAATACTCGAGATCATCCGTTTCTGGTCGTACTAAATTGGTTAAATTGTTTAATCAAATTGATTGGAATCTACAGAAAATTAGGTGAATACGACTAGCGTTGCTCAATGCCTATCGTTTCGAGGGTTATCATGCAAAAGGTGAATGAGTTTTGATATAAAACTCGTCTGGGCTTGTGCTTTTTGGTGCTTCTTTTCCCCAGTTTCTTATCCAGCAGTTTTTTACTTGTCACCACGTCACTTTCTTAACAATAAAGGGCTAGCGAATCAGTTGTGCGTCCGAAATAGCATTAGATTTTATAATTGTAGGGCTATAGAAGCTAGAAAAAAATTCAAATTTGCGAATGTGTTATGAGCTTCATTCACGTTAGTAGAGATGTATCGTCTCGCATAGTGTTTATTTGAAAAGGAAATGTTATTTTCTGACCTAATTTTGTTCGAAAATACATGGGGGAGACTGACATTGCTTTCCAAATGGTTCTGCAATGTTCAGCAACAGATCCTTGTTTCAAAGTATATCAGTAGCTCGTTCGTTATTTCCATAGTGTTAGAAATGATTAACGTTGCATTTTCAGAGAAAGCCTAACGAGTCACTGGAACTCTATAGAAGGAAATATGATAGCCTCGTGTCTGACATCATCTTATGGTGTTCTGAGATTCAAATAAATTCTCCACAATTTGCGGTGTGTTTAAAGATTCATTATTGAACTAATCACACTTATTCAAATCCTTTTATTATCTTCATGAAATTGATGTAGTTTTATTGACTTGCCATTTTAAGCTTAACCTTCGTTTGGCCGGAGTTTGTCCATTCTATCTAGTGCGCTTTCAAACTGAGCTGTTTGATTTTGCAAGTAGCATGGTATCTTTAGAAGATTTTGATAGCATGAGTGCATACAGGTGAGATTTTTGTTTTCTCATTCATTAAAACGCTAGATATTTTGTATCCAAATAACTATCGGTCGACCAATTTTAAACACACTTTTTCGGGTCAGATTTTAGTTATAGCGGATTGATGTGCTTAATCTTATAGCTCGAAAGAGTTGCGACGACTGCTGCGTCGAAGAAATCGTCGAGCAGCGAGTACAGAAGGCCGGTTTTAACGCAACTGTTATAATGATGTCTTCTCCACAGTCTGAGGCTAACTGCCACTGATTTCAGAAATTGTGCTGTTAAGTGACGGCGACTCTGATTCAGCGGTTATTACTACTAACCCGGACAGAAATAACGATGATGTTATTGTCTTAAGTGATGACAGTCATTCCGGCGAAGAATCGATCTTAAGGAGGGTTGAAATTGAAAGCAACAATGTGAGAGTGAGTTGTCAAAAATTTATTAAAAGCTAGGGGCATTTATAAATATTATTGTGATCGGGGTGATATTTTTGGGAATCATTGGTTAAAAACGGATTACAATTAGCTATGTTGTCCAAAATTCGTTAGATTGCTTTCTGTGTGATCTACCACTCCTCGTTTTAAAACAGGATGTATCGCAATTGTTTCTCAACGTCGAGGCCTTCTAACCGGTGTTCTAACAACATCATTCATACACTTCCAGGGTTCTACTATTGAAAGACCTAGGAACCTAAGAGTCATTGTTATAGACCAGATATGAATTCGTTCATCTCTAACAATAGCCAGTGAAGTCTTATACATGACTCATTCCCAAAGGCTTGAGCAAACGCGTCATCCTTCCCACTTTTCTCTTCTCTTTTTACCTCTACAGAGTAATGGCAACGCATATTTATTTCAATAGGTTTTCTTCTGGGTAGATTTTTCAGCGGCAGAGTTTCCTTTTGTCATTCCTTTTCTCTGCTCTTTCGAACACACTCCACACTGGTATCTTCGCGACTTTGTCAGTGTAACACTCCAACTAATGAGGCTTTTATATAGTTTTATAGTTTTTTTTCTTATTTGACCCAACTTCAAGTCTACTGTGCGGACCAGCACTTCTAAAATTCGATTCATTTCGTTGTATCCATTGTCCACGAAGGTCGTCCAACTTTTACGTGTGGCTTCGGTTGCTGCTTGAGGATTTCCATTTCATTTTGATTGTCGTAGAATGCTGACCGAGCAGTTCTGTCTGAAGTTCTGAGATAGCCGGGCTGGAGCGTTCCAATTTGGATTTCAGAGAGCGATTTTTTTCCAGACAAGTCCGTTACCCATTTCACGACTCTGGAGAGATGAGAAGCTTCGTTGGTCCCGAGCAGAATCGAACTACCACCATGCTCGTGATGACGGGCATCACTACCACTGTGCCATGTGCCCCTATATAAAGGTTAAATTTGACTTCTAGGATGAAGATGCATCGTTGAATTCCGAAGCCTCTAACTTTAGCGATTTTTACACTCGACTTGCATGTCGTCTTTCGTGCCCTACACCAGGCCCAATACATCGTTGACTCCTTCGGCTTTTCAAGAAAAGTCTTTCCGAAACCTCCTAAACTCTTCTCCCCCTCCCAATCCACCTTAGCTTGGTTATCTTCAAAATTGCAAGGTGGTTCGACTCGACCACCATTTAAAATAAAGGCGAAGTCTTCAAGCACCAGCTGAAACAATACACGAAATGTTCGAAGACCACAGTGGGCGATGAATGCGAGGAAACAAGTCGAATGCAAGAATTACTACGACCCGCATAGTGGATATGACCACGGATCACGAAAAATAAGTAAAAATGCTACCTTTCATTTCCAGTGTTGCCACTATTCGTTGTTATTTGGAGTGATGAAGTGGTTATATTATTATATTAAGTACATTTGTAGACCATGCCGATGAATTCTATGCATAACGCATCGGACGAACTATTACACAGCGCAGAAACGTCATTAGAAAGTCGTGATGATACGGTGGGTTTAAATCCGTTATCATTTATATCACTCACATTGCTTCTGAAGTTTTGGTATCTAATGAATGGCGAACTGGCTAGGAAGTACTAGCAGATTTTTTTTTAAAAACTGCTAATCAATTTTCGGAAGGGGGAACCGGTGAGATAATATATCCATCCTCCCTTCTTCATGGCCATCCCTCATGAACACATTGGTCCTTCTTTTCACACATTACCTGTCATGCTGCAAGGTTTCTGTTCAATGATGGACCACCAATACTGTGTAATTGTTCAAGAGGCGTGACGTCCACGATATCGGTAACTATCGTCCAATCTGCTTTCTGTCTATCGTCTTCAAACTTTCTATTTGAATTATCCTAAACAGGTTTCACAGAACACTGAACGAAGGATAGCTATGTGAGCAAGCCGGGTTTCGAGAATTATTCGGTATGGTGGACCATAGCTGCACGATAATATAACAGGAGTCATTGAAGTATCGTGAGTGCACAAGAGATCGCTCTGTCTCAATTTCATCGTTTTACGGAAAGCTTTTGGCTCAAAGTTGGCATATATGTAATAATGGAAGCGCTGAACGGCCAGTGCGTCCCTATTCAGTATCTAAAGTTTCTTCGTAAGCTATGTAGAAATTTCACAGCCAAAATAACACCGTTCTACAACGATGTTGTCATGAGCGTCAGAAGAGGTGTTAGACAAGGCGATACCATCTCGCCAAAATTATTTACAGAAATTCGATGGTCGGCAATTACACCATCTTCGCTTTATTGATGACGTCGTTTGTATAACACCAAACATTAGCCAGACACAACGAACGCTTACCGATTTCGATAAAGCCTGTGGAAAGATTTGTCTTCGACTAAATCTCACAAAAGAAAAGGATGTTCATGAGGAAGGGATTGGTTTCTTATGCCCTTATGAAATGCTGATTGGAATGAACAGCTCAGAATGTTCCAGCTACATCTGTCTAGGGCGGGAAATCAACACGGTGAACGACTTTGCTCCAGAGTTGAGCAAGAAAAAACCATCGACTTGCGGAACTTTCAAGAAAATCGGCGGTGTAACGAGCAGAATAGAACACCCAACTCCGTGCCCTTTTCGATTACGTGATAATTCGTGCCTTAACATATGCATTAGAAACTTGGTCGGTGCGTAGATAGGATGGAAGATCGTTCAACGTAACAGAATACGTAGTCGAATAGACGATCCTAGGAGTATCCCGTATTGCGTAAGTGAGAAGAGGTATTCGAAGGTTCAGTGTACATCAACGTCCAAAAATCAACGATGTCGTTCTCTACGCGAAATAATAAAAGACAAGATGATCTGGGTACGCAGTGCGCATTGACGATAATTGACGAAGAAGAGCCGTTAGTGTCTGGATTCCTCAGGATGTCAAACGTACCGCAGGAATACCACCAACCCCATGGTGAGATTTCTTAACGAAATCCCTAGAAAGAAGATATGATGCCCAATGAGTCCCTAGAGCGAACGGAAACCACTGGGCTACTCTTGCAGGTAACAGGGAGAAATGGAAGATTTACTAGCTTCCGTTCAAGTCACAAAACGATCAATGGGACGGCAGGTGGGTGGTACAGCCTATTGTGTCAATCGAAGAACTAGCAGCGAAGAAGTTGTGTTCCGTTGCTTGCTCGTTTATTAAAATTTCGTTATAGTGTTGGTTTCTTTGGGGTACGTATAGCAAACTTATACTATAAAGCCATTCTGTATTAAACTATACGTGTGATTCCAAATTTTCTTTTGACTATTTGTATATTCTGCGAATTGGTGCTGTACTAAACACATTTATTTAAGATACCTTGGTCAAGTGTTGGCGAAGACGGTCGGTCAAGAGATGACGTACGCAATCGGTTAAGAATTCATCCAAGCGATTTTTCAAGCGATGACGTGGACGATCGGTCAGGAATTGACTCAAGCGATTTTTCAAGCGATGACGACGACAGTNGTTCAAGAGATGACGAACAAAATCGGTCAGGAAGTGATTCAAGCGATTTTTCATGCGATGACGACGACAGTGGTTCAAGAGATGACGAACAAAATCGGTCAGGAATTGACTCAAGCGATTTTTCAAGCGATGACGAGGACAGTCGGTCAAGAGATGGCGTACCCAATTGGTTAAGAAAACTCACCCGAGCGATTTTTCAAGCGAGAACGGATACGGTCGGTGAAGAGATGACGAACGCAAGCGGTTAAGAATTCACCTAAGCAATTTTTAAGCGATGACGAAAACGATTGATCAAATGTTATCGAAGATGGGACTTCTATAGAGCTTAGACGGACTTTCGACTTTTGCATTTCGATGTTTCCTTCAGGACTGTAAGTGAATTTCGATAGATTGCCATATGTTAGTTTGTCAGATTGCTTCCGTTTATTTTTAGCACTGCTCCTTCTTTGGTACAAGGTTTAGGCCTGAAAAAAAAAACGGAACGTGGTACATAACGGTGCATTTTGTACGCCTGGAATGTTGTATTTTTGAAGTGAAAAATTTCATGGCACTAGTTATGGGCCACGTATAGGCTAAAAAAAATTTTTTCTCAAGAAGAACAAAGTAGTTATGCACGACGCAAGGAGTGCTTATTACTAATCATTACCTTCAGAAAAAGCAACATAACTCTGTATTACAACTGTTCATAAACAACAAGATCAATATACCTTCCAGGAGAGATGTTGATAGAGGTGGTCGTCCTGACTTGCATCATGGAATATTCAATGGACAAATGGATGGTACGATAATTCCATAGTGATGATAGGCTTTTAAGCTGTATTTTTATTGGGAACTACCTGCTAAAATAAAGCTATATGTGCAAAACTACATAGTAATAAAGTCAACTATTGCGACGAATTTAGTGACATGTGCTTTGTTCTGTTTTTTTTTTTTGGAATATAGTCTGAAATTAGTTAAATATGAGAAGGTGTCTCCGTACGTGTTCGTTCTTCTTACCATTAAAGCACTTATAAGGCTAGTTTAGAGTTCGACACAGATCTTCTATTTTCTTCCTTCGCTCTATTTTTTGTAAACCAAAGAGGTTTTAGTGTTAATGTTTCGTTTTTTCTGTTTTGTTTTGTTTGTTAATGTTTCGTGTTAGCATTTGAATTTAACTGTTGAGTTCTTTTAACTCGAATTTTCCTGGTTCACTTATAAAGAAGAGTGTTTTTACTGTTTGTTTGTCTGTTTTTATCTGTTTGTTCTAGTGCAATGGAAGTAAATATAAAAAGTTGTTGGCTCTTATCTATTTGACTAGGCGGACAACCTGTGAGAGACAAGCCCGATTGTGGAAGATTAGTCCATTTGTTCTAAATTATTAGCTGGTATTTTGAATGAATCTACCAGCCTGTGAAAACGTCTATAATGGTGGAACCATAGCGGGATTTGAAACTGAGGCCGAACTTTGCCAATACATGTTCATAGAAGCAAAAGTAGAAAGTCATGTTAACAGCCAAATCACTGAACTCAGGACCAACAATGTCAGGACTGTAGTAAAATAAACGTCTCGCATTTTTAGCGGACTAAAAACGACCTGTTAAAGAAAACCTCTCCTGAAAACAAGACTTCTTCATCTGAATAAACTCTAAGGAGAACACAAATGAGGTTCTGAATTACACTGGAAATATTAACTGGAACTGGAAAATTATCATTGATTGCTCATGGGTAAGTTGTTTAGAACTTTCTGTGGCATATTTGGGGTCTTATAATTACAATTTAACAGTGCTTGTCATAACGATCAAGTAACATCTCCAATTTTTGGCAGGCAAACGATTTTCTTTGGTAGACATTTACTCGACGGCATATAAATAATACCATTAAAAGATATCTCAGGTTCAATTGAATCTTGTACCCAGTCAACGCGATTTTCTGCACCTTCTCACTCTAGAGCCTAGGTGCATTTAGTCAACAGAGTCCGCCGGATGATTTCAGTAGTAGCTCCATCTGCTTAAACTATAAGTAAAAAGTATCCTAAAAAACGATTTTCACTAAGCCTCGGTAAGAACAGTCAATAGTCATGACTGAGCTGACACGACGTTGATAATAAAAACTTTATTCGACTTATGTTTCAGCACCTAATCTTTTCCAGAGGCGGCAGGTTGAACCGAGCCGGATGACCCACAGCAGGTCGTTGTCGCAATGTGAATATTCGTCGTTACTGGTTTCATTCGAGCGGTGCTCATTCTACTAGATTCGGATGACCTGGCCAGCGAACACCCACATCGCAACAATTACCACGTTGGGACCATCGACCCGGAACAACGCGCCTCTGAAAAAGGCGAAGGAGCTGATAAGTTAACTCAGTAAAAAATGTGTGCAACGTTTGCAAATCTTTACAACACAGGGGAAATAAGGCTAAATCTGACGTTTATTTCTATGAAAGGTTCTCCCTAGTTCCACATTTCGATATCCTGTCTTCATGAGTTTATCAAAAGAGAGCGTCAAACACTGCGAATATCGCAGAGACCTTCCTTTATCTATGCTCCACAACACTAAAACACGGTTCCGATTCCGCCGCGTCAAAACTATTGTCTCCTAAGTTTCTGCCGGATGATATGTAGTGGTATCATCTCTCCGTTGCTCGTGCACACATGCTGAACAAACGTAACCTTTCTGGTGCATGTTCTACACGAAGATAGAATCACATAGCACTTATCGGTGGACGAATGTCTTCTTCCCCTGTTAAACCGTTCATCGGTTCTATCAACACGGATTGTGTCATACCAGCACACCTGAATAAGTACGTCCTTAGCAGGGAACACAGGAAACACCATATCAGACAAGAAGACAAATATTCACAGAAAATATCAATGACTTGATGCAACTGAAAAGTTGTAAACAAGGATTAGCAATGCAGTGATAGCGATGGCGTTGTGACGGCGCGAGGCGGTGGCTCGCAAGAGATTTGTTTGAACCACAAAATCTTGCTAGTTCCAGTGAAGAAGATTTGATGAAGCCGCATTCTGAAATCTCAGGGAGAACCACCAATTAGACCAGAGTTCAGTGACATCCACGAGGACAAAATCCCTAGGCAGCAGCCGATCCCACATCCGAAGGAAGTGAAATAAAAACGTTTTGGTATCTCCACACTCCTACTTATCGTGCGGAGTAAAGAAAAGCAGCTGCCTTTACTGAAGAGTAAAAAAAACAGCCATCTTTACTGGATAGCTTGCATAACATGACTTTCTACTTTTGCTTCTATGAACATGTATTGGCAAAGTTCGGCCTCAGTTTCAAATCCCGCTATGGTTCCACCATTATAGACGTTTTCACAGGCTGGTAGATTCATTCAAAATACCAGCTAATAATTTAGAACAAATGGACTAATCTTCCACAATCGGGCTTGTCTCTCACAGGTTGTCCGCCTAGTCAAATAGATAAGAGCCAACAACTTTTTATATTTACTTCCATTGCACTAGAACAAACAGATAAAAACAGACAAACAAACATTTCGAAACCGACCTTCCCTAAACCTCGGTGTGATTAATCAATATGTATTCTTTCTTGATAAGCTTACACGAGGT